GGGTAACATCTGGAATAAGAGTCTCTTCTAGAAATTTGCGCTGTCTGCACTATATCCGTAAATTTAATATTAACAACAACTTTTTTTGTGTCTTATTTTAATTCACATAGACGTATTTACAGAAAAACCATAAGGAATGCCAAGGAATTATATTATAAACATCGTTTCACCCGGGCTGGAAACAGCACAAGGGAAAACTGGTCTGTCATAAATGATTTAAGAGGCACACACGCCTCATGTCCTAAAGCTGTCAACATGGAGCCTGATACTCTGAATGCTTTTTTCTGTTCTGTGTTCAAGAGAACGACATCCAATACTACAAGTAGTAAAGATCCTTTGGATTATCTTGGGGAGTTCAATGTTCCCTGCAGTTTCTACTTTCACCCCGTCGATGTGATTGAATTAAAGGAAGTGTTTTCGCAGATCAAGAATAGGAATTCTTCTGGGTATGATGGAATGTCCATTAAGGTGTTTGAAAATCTCTCAGAATCTGCTTTGCTTTCACTCGTAAATGCGATTAACGTATCTTTCGAAACTGGAGAATTTCCATCCTGCTTGATACGGGCGGTTGTGATTCCTTTGCACAAGGGGGGTAATTGCGAAGATCCATCTAATTTCCGCCCTATATCGCTACTTGCCACCCTTTCGAAGGTCGTTGAGAAGCTAGTGAAATCGAGGCTGGTTCATTTTCTATCGGCATTTAATGTGATAACACCCTCTCAGTTTGGTTTTCAAGCATCTAAGAGTACGAGTGATGCAATCTTTTCGCTTCTGGAAACCCTTTACACAAGTCTGAATGGCGGAGATGTGGCTGCAGCAGTGTTTTGCGACTTTTCAAAGGCCTTTGACTGCGTAAATCGCGAAGTGCTGCTGCGGAAACTTCACCGCTGTGGTATACGGGGAAAGGCGAATCTGTGGTTCGAAACATATCTCTCCGAGAGGGTTCAGGTGGTGAAAGTTGGCGATGATGAGTCGGCTCCCTTAGTATGTCACTATGGTGTACCGCAGGGATCGGTGTTGGGACCTGTTCTTTTCTTGGTATATATTAATGACCTTGCGATGGTGAATATTCGGGGTAAGTTCACTCTCTTCGCGGACGACACCACTCTTCTATGGCATGCGGAAACAGGCGAGAATCTCAGGGAGATGATAACTACAGATTTACTAAAAATCAAAGGTTGGTGTGATGCTAATTCTCTCAGCTTAAATATCGCTAAAACTAGTATACTTACTTTTGGTTTTAATTTTAATGACTTAATGATAAATGATCAACAAATCGAAAATGAACCAGTCACTAAGTTCTTGGGCCTTCTCATAGACAACAAACTTAAATTTGATAGACACATTTCATCATTGAGCTCTAGGCTGGCCTCTGGTTGCTTTGCTATTAGAGTAGTTTCCAACGAATTGGGTACCGCGACGGCAAGGATGGTGTATTTTTCACTTTTTGAATCGCACCTTCGATATGGTATAACATTTTGGGGTTTTTGTAATCAACAATTGTTTAATTCAATATTTGTTCTGCAGAAAAAAGCAATACGATTTATGTGTCGGGTGGGAGTGAGGGAACATTGCAGACCACTGTTTATTACACAGGGGATATTGACAGTAGTGTCTTTATTTATTCTTGAAACAGTGTGTCTGATTCACAAAAACTCGTGTTTTGAGGTCCCTGACCATTTACATAACACAAGATTAAATGCAAACCAAAATCTACGTCTCCCTATTCCCAGAATGACACTTACAAAAAAATCCATTATATATGATGGCCTCAAGATGTATAACCATTTGGGCACTGAATATAGACAATTGCCATACTCGCGGTTCAGGAAGAGGGTAAAGAGTGTATTGATGGCAAGGTCTTATTACAGCCTGGAGGAGTATTATGATGATTGTTTGTAGCAAGGTTTGCAGCTATTGATTTTGTCAAGTACTTTCATTTTAATGTTCTGTTTTCATATGTATTTTTGTTTTTAGTTATAATAATTGTTTCTATTCTTACGGCTGTTTGTTATTTTAATTTTTGACATTTTAATATTGTAGTTATTATTTTATTATTGTACTGTTATTACTCTTACGGTTGTTTGTGAATTTAAATTTTGACATTTTATTATTGTGTTTATTGTATTTTTCTTATTGTTGTATTTTTCTGCTTTGTAGACAAGATGTTTTGCTCTTTTTACAATAAAGCATATTTTGAATTGATTTTGATTTGATTTGAAAGCTGTTGTGATGGCACACGTATTGTTTACGAAACAATAATCTGCAGTTTTGGCAAAGTTTTTTCACTATCCATTAGTATCCATTGTGTCTTTGTTATTATTGAAAATTCATTCACCCACACATTGCAACGTAAGTTAAAGTCGTCGGAATTGCACTCTACCTCAGATTTTCCTTTTAACTTTAAGCGAAGTACTGCTATGTAATTGTTTTGATTTTCATACTCGATTATATTAACATTTCCATTGTTACACAATGGATTAATAAGTTGAATTAAATTATCCATAATGAAAACACACAATACTAACAATAATAATTAACTTCTAAAGAGTGAGCCCTGCTTCTAACAACAAGTAAAATTTGAGGCTAGATCTGCCACGTAGTGTTACAAACGATTAGATTTTGCAGGGATGTGCTGAGCGCGATTATATTTGGCAATGACGTTAAGGGCTAGCATCTCTTGTGCTCTAATAGTTTATATTTAGTAAAATCGCGCTGAAGTCGATTATATTTTGCAATGACGAAGTTGGGGCGTGTCCTGTGCTGTGCTAGTTTATATTTAGTAAAATCGCTACCAGGCGATGTGATCTGCTTGGGGTAGATCATTTATGTAAATAAGGAACAAAAGGGGTCCCAGGATTGACCCCTGTGGTACACCTACCAGTACCTCCCTCTCCAAGGATACCACACCACCGACCCTCACCATCTGAGGATGGTTTGACAAGTAACTGAATAGAACTGCAATACCACTATGAGAAAAATTATATTTTTTTAGTTTGGCAAGTAAAATTTCTTGTAAACGCAGTCAAAGGCGAATTCAAAGTTTTTGAAAAATTTAAAATGTCTCTCATTGATTTTAAGTCATCATTGAACCAGTTGATGACTCGATTTTGATTTTTACGGTTAACATACGTTTTTTGAGGAAATGCATCCATTAGAACTTGTACTAAAACATCCAAAAACAGAGAAAATTTGGCATCAGCAGTTATTTGAGCCTGAATGATAGACTCCCAAGTAATTTCACTGATACATTGAAAAAATAGTGCCTTTCATCTTTGTGTTATTGGCCTGCATACTACCTTTGTTAAATCAGTGTGATGAATTTTCAAGGGGACAGAGAACTGTACAATTTGACAAAGATGCTCAGAAAAAGCAGTGTCACCTGGCAGTCTGCCTTTCAGAGCTTATGAAAACATTTTCAAGACAATTACAATTACCACCGTGAGTAGGTTCCATAACCAGTCTAGTCAGGCCAAATTATTGGAAGCTCAGAGTTAGGTGGATTCTGTTGAGTTGGTATTAAAGTGCACATTGAAATCTCCAGCCACTACTATTTGAGCATAATTCGCAACCATGTTTAACGACCTCTCCATGACATCAAGAAACAGATTTGATGGTCCTGATGGTGCTTTATAAACTGCAACAATGTATATATTAAGTTCTATTATATGTATGCAACAAATTTCTATGATTCTCTCCTCAGTGAAGGACTGATTTGAGCAATATTTCTGTTCTTCCACCCCTATGGATGGTGCAATAGGAAGCCGCTGCGAGGTTGTAGCGTGTATACCAAAAAGAGTAGCTTCATTTTCAGTGAATCAGTGTTCACTAAGGGAGATAATGTCTACGTTCTTGTCAACCAAAAAAGCATGCATTTCATTGGCCTTGTTTCTGATGAACTGGATATTCTGGTGGAATAGTCGTCTTTTTTCCCTATGACCAGTTAAGCTGTTTGGTAGGGAGTTTTTCCCTGTGGCTTCCTCATTTGAGGCCCTATTTTCCTCACGTTTAAAAAATCGTTAACGGTTAGACCCACTGGCCGGAAACTACGATCCAGCAACTCATCCCTATGTTCCGATAGTACTTACACTTTGAAAGAGCTATAGGTATTTGTGCTGCTGAGTCTTAGTTTTCAATTTTTCGCAAATCATGGCCGAACTCCATTTTCCTCTAAGTACGACTTTATTTCGTTGGGGTTGGTTTCTGGGTCAAATCCTGATACAAACAGTCAAATGGAATTTGTTTTTTTTTTTTCCTACTCTCAGCCCTGTGTAGTTATTTTTACTGCTCTTTATTGGATTGGGTCTGGGGTGTCAGGGCAACTGAATATCAAAAAAATTCGGTAAAAATTTGTTCATATCCACTTTGAAACTGTGTTTTTCTTTGGAATTAAGTGTGACTCGCATTTTCGCTCTGTTGCCAAACGAACTGTAACAAAACTAACCAAAAATATGCAAACTAACCCGTCCACGTAATGCGTGCTAGTCCTTGTATGTTAATACTGAATATATCTTGTTAACCAGAGCCGCTTTCCAATGACAAATTTTAAGGTGCTCTACACCCGTAGCTTCATACTCTGGTGCTTTCAAACAACTAATGTGTCACTGGAACCCACCCTACTTTAAGCTTCGTGTTTTTGATGCACCCATAAAATTGCAGGTGCTTGAGAGAGCAGGGGAGAGGAAAAACAAACAATATAGTTGCGCGAAATTAGCTTCGTTCCAACCCAGCAGGAAACCGTAATATCGTCAGGATTCTGCGCAAAACCTAAAATTTTCGCGTAGAAACCGAAATTCGTATACAGAGTGGTTCCGAAATCGTTCTGGGACGGGTTGGAACAAAGCTATTGAATCATAATTTTGAAGCTGAAGCTGACATCTTGACTAATTCGCATTCCAATTAATAAATAAGTAATGTTAATCCTCAAGCCATGAGATCCTTGCTGACCATAGAATTTTTGTCAAAATTATTGAGATGTAAATAACTTGATATTTTTTTAGTGTGCCTAGATTCAAGAAAAAGTTCTCACTGATTAGTCCTGCAAAAGACAATGAATTGGACGTTCTCGATACTTTGAAAGTTGCAGATACTGTATTGTTTTTATTATCGGCAGTCTATGGAGCAGATGATATTGAACATATGGTAGATAATTTTGGAAAAAGGATTTTATCTTCAAGTTTTGCACAGGTGAGATGAATACTTACACTGATTAGATTGATAATTCCGAAAGAAAGCACAAATTGCGAAATAGACAATAAAACTTCATAAATTCAGTAGAGCTGCAATATCACACACTTTTAAAAAGAGAATACATAATTGTTTGAGACCATTGACTCTGAGATTCTAATTATTATTATTCTTTGATAGTCCACAATGTGAAAGTTTTTTTTCTAATTTCTCAGGTCACCTCAATATTATAAGTTGTTGAAATATTAAATACTGTATTTGATATTCAGATTCAGAGTTTTATATGTAATCCAAAGTTCACTGTATCTCAACTCCTTTGCACATTTAAAAATCGATGCTGATGTTTTAGATTAGATTTACATTTAATTTAATACAACCTTTATAATGAAATTTTAGGGATTACCAACACCTGTAGTTGCATTAACAGATCTAGAAAGCATAGCACCTAAAAAACGCAATGAATTCAAACAAAATGTACAAAAGCTCGTTGCCCAATGGTTACCTGATGAAAAATTGATGGTCTTGGATAAAAGTGCTGATGCCATAAACATTTTAAGGAAAATTGGCGACCAAAAGAAAAAACCAGTTTTGTATAGGGATAGGAGGCCATATTTGTATGGTGAAGAAGTGGAGTATATTCCTGACAAAGAAGGACCTATGGGTACTTTAAAAGTCACTGGCTATTTGAAAGGTTCACCATTATCAGTCGATCAACTTGTACACATCCCTGGATTAGGTGAATTCCAAATGACTCAGATAGATGCGCCTTTTGATCCAAGTAAAGCAGATAAGAACAGGTAACATAACATACAACATACATATAGATGCCTGCGTGCTGTATTAAATTACAGAGTAAAAATTATACGAATATTTGTTTTCAGAAATAGAGATTCAAACTCCATGGAAGACGACAGCAGCATGATCAAAGTTTTAGGAAGATGTGATCCGGCCAAACAAGAGTCATTGGATTCAGAAAATATACCCGATCCTATGGACGCCGAGCAAACTTGGCCAACAAATGATGATTTCGAAATGGCCGAAAAAGAAAAACTTTTGAAAAAGATCAAAAAGGTTCCCAAGGGTTGGTCAGATTATCAAGCAGCTTGGATCCCTGATGATGATGCAGATTTTCAAGAAGATGAAGTCAGTGAAAGTGAAGAGGAGTCTGGAGATGAATTTATGGATGCAGCTTCAGAGGAAAAGTCTTATTATTCCGATGCTGAGGACAAAGAGAAAGATTTTGATACTGTAACTGAGTCAGGTAAATGTTTAAGAAATGTGGTCAGTGACTAACATGAAGAGAATGTGCTCTCGAAATTTCACAAGGGAATGCAAGAAAGGGCTGAAAGTGCGATCTTATAATGTTAAGAAATCACTAGCCTTCTCCTTATTTGATGAAGTCAACTTTTTTCTTTTTAGATGTTGGTGTAAAAGATGACAAGTACGACCAACAAATGGATTTGGATGCAGAGAAAAAGGATTTGGCCAACATAAAGGCTGCTAAATCTGATCGTATGTTCCCTGATGAAATCGATACACCTGTAGATTCTTCAGCAAAGGATAGGTTTCAGAAATATAGGGGATTGGAAAGCTTTAGGTGAGAATCTTATTTAAATAGGAATATATAGGATATCCTAAAAATAGGTAAATTCATTTGAATCGTTCTCACATAAGTTCGGCCAAATTTTCATTACCAATCTTCAGTGTGCAGAAAAACGTTGACATTATGAATACAAATTAAAGCAAAACCCTTGACATATCTTTTACTTAAGTTTTGTAACTATAGCTGAAATTAATATATGTCTTGTTTTTATGTTTCAGAACATCGCCATGGGACCCCAAAGAAAATTTACCGAGCGACTATGCTAGGATATTTCAGTTTCAGAATTTTGACAGGACAAAAAAACGAGTTCTCAAGGAGGAGGAAAATAAGGATGGGGCTATGGTAAGTGCTTAACTTTTTGTGAAATTTTTAATTTGTTTTTCTAAATATGAATATATATATATATATAAAAAATAACTATATTTACTAAAAATCGATCACCTATTTTCTCTTTATGTAATTTGATTGTATTTTTCAGCCTGGGTGGTACATTACTGTGCATGTAAAGTCCCTATCGCAATTAATGTGGTCTACGTTTCAAGAAACAAAATCACCAGTCATTTTGATGGGTCAATTTCCACACGAGCAAAAAATGTCTGTACTAAATGTTGTTTTGAAAAGAACTGCAAACTATGATGCCCCAATAAAATCAAAAGATAGACTTATATTCCAGTGTGGTTATAGAAGATTTATTACGAATCCTGTATTTAGTCAGCATACAAATGGACAAAAGCATAAGGTAATTAGGTTTTTAATTATCCCATCCCATACAACTTGAAGGACAAAGGACCTTTTACAGTACCAAAGCACTGGCTAACATGACAAAACATTAAAATTGTAGGAAATAAGACTTTTGCCTTTTCTCAAGTGCATTTCTCATTCTTATTTTAGTTTGAACGATTCTTCCAACCAAACTCAACTGCAGTAGCCACGTTTTACGCTCCAATACAATTTCCGCCAGCACCCATATTATGCTTCAAAGAAGTGTTAGGTACTCTTGTCTTAGTTGCTACAGGAAGTCTTCTATCTTGCAACCCGGATAGACTTATTATCAAGAGAGCTGTATTATCAGGTAAGTCGCTTACTAACTTCAATAGTCATATTGTAAGTAACTAGTAACTACTGCAAAAAAAAATAAACTCAAATTAAACCTTCATGATCATTTTTGTAGTATGTGTACTGTGTACAATTCAAAAGGAACCTTGACAATCATTGCTTTAAAATTTCAGGACACCCATTAAAAATCTACAAAAGGTCAGCTGTTGTACGATTTATGTTCTTCAATAGGGAAGATGTTCTTTATTTCAAGCCTTGCAAGCTTACAACAAAAATGGGTAGAACTGGACACATTAAAGAAGCTTTAGGTAAGTTTCCTACTAAAAAAATTTCTGAATTAATAATTCAAAATTTCACCATTTTTCAGGCACACACGGACATATGAAATGTGTTTTTGATGGACAACTCAAGTCTCAAGATACAGTTCTTTTAAACTTATACAAAAGAGTTTTTCCAAAATGGACCTACGAAAATCTGATTGTTAGTTGTGCAAATAATGAAATGGAGACTTGAAACGTGTCCTTATTTACAGATATGTACTGTTATTCGCATACCAGTTTTTAATAAATAAATGTTAATTAAAATATCTCGGTTTTCATTTATGTCCTTAATTCCTAATTTGTGTGGTACGTAATTAAATTACCCACTTTAATTTAATGATGTCAAGGATTTGTTTTATACAATAAATTCTAAAATGCAAAATGGTTTGGTAATCCAAATTGATTTGGCAGAGAAAATTGAAATTTTTGTGTAGCCCTGAATGCGTACGGTTTATTTAGATTATGTTTCAATGACAAAATATTAAACTATAGATAATTTTTTGTATCTGTTGACTTATGATTTATAAATAAGCCTATATGTTATTATTCTTGGTATTATTGTACATAGATTTCATATTTCTTTCTTTCTATAGTGTCATCATACTTTGTGATTGGTATCAGTGGCGTAGCCAAACCAAACGTGGCCGTCGGCGAAATCCGAATTGCGAGGCCCTTTTTATGTAGGGTGGCAGTGGCGGATCTACGAGGGGGGGGGGGGGTATTTTTTTTTTTTTTACTGATATGCGCACTCGCAAGGAAATGTCCTATCACGGTCGAGAAGCGGCAAGTGCGCGGAAATGTCGGTGTATGTTGGTCTTGAAACGGTTCAGGTTGTAACCTGCAGGAAAAACCGTCGCAGGGAGTTTATTCCACAGCGATGCTGTTCTCCAGAGATATGAATTCTGATATAATGAGGTTCTTGGTGCCTCTAGTTTGACAGTAAATTCATGGTTATGGGGGTGATTACCCCCAGAGAGGTCCAAGAAAATTTCAATTATTAAAAAAACACACAAATTATTTTTTTGGAGACTTAAAATAAGTTTTGAGCGTGACACCCGATAAAAATTTCTGCTTCCGGCCGCAACTATGGTAGGCATCGTCTACTTTGGGCGTGAACTCCTTCAGGTATAGACCACGAGCCGCCACTGGTTGAGAAGCTCTACCCCCCTCCAGAATCGTGCTATAGATCCGCCACTACAGGGTGGCCATATTTCTTGTGAAAAAGCTGGATATAACGTCAGGGACGGGTAGTCGCCGGCAAGCCCACCGAAGGCGAGAATTTTTTGAGAGTTACGTCCCTTTTTCGAGCCTATCAACGGTATTCGATAACAATACTTGGTCAAAAATTTCAATATTTTTCCGCTAACAAATCCTTCCAACAAAATGGCTATTTATGTACCAAGGGGATTATGTAGATTATAATGCCCGAAGGCGAAACTAGCCCAAGAGCCTATGGCCCATATATTTCGCCTGAAGGGCATTATAATCTTAAAATCCCCGTGGTGCATACAATGCTTTATTTTCTACTCAACACAATGTTTTCATCAATTTATTATTTACAAAATCAGTTAAACTTGTATGCCAGAATATTGTTTTGTATTTTGACATGTACCTATACCTGTAACCTGTACCTGTACCTGCGACCTGTACCTAGAAACGAAATAAATTAATATATCTATAAACATCTCATAAGGCAAGGCAACGGTGGTGGTCCTGTGGGTTAACGCGCTGGACTACATGGGAAACGTTGATGGTAGACCGGGTTCGAACCCTGGGGCCTTATTCTGTAAGAAACGAACCGTTCGATTCGGTAAAATTTCTTCGATTGTGACGTCATTTTCGGTTTGGTAGCGCGAAAACCAAACCGAAAATGACGTCACAATCGGAGAAATTCTACCGAATCGAATGGTTTGTTATTTACAGAATAAGGCCCCTGGCTAGACCAAAAATTATTTTCGGTCAGACATGTAGTGGCTGCCTAGGGTAAAGTGCAAATTAATAGAACAACAACAACAAAAACACCTTAGGGTATTATAAGCGGGCGTTATAGATCATAACGCCCGCAAAAGCGGGCGTTATGGATCAGGTTGTTATAGGTGTTTTAACGTATTTCGTTTCCTAGGTATTATGAATCTATAATAGTAAAGTAGAAAATAAAATAAATTTCTCATTTATTACAGTATTACACAAACATGGATCGACAATTTCTGGTAGAAATCAGACAATTTTTCAGGAAACCTAAATAATATCCGAATCTGTGTATGTTAGCAGGTTTGCTGAACAAAATCAAATGCTGGACGAACTTTCAAATTGCTGTTGAATGTACAATACAGCGAAATACTGCACGAATTCTATGATATTAAAAAAAGTTTCGTATAGGATTAAGTTTATAATTTATTCTACGTTTCATTTTGGGAAATTGAAAAGTGCCAATTTTCAAGTTCGGTAACCTATTTTTTGCTAGGCTCCTTAGGGCGCGAGGCCGTCGGCGGTCGCCGACGCCTCTCTACGCCACTGATTGGTATTAAAGGGATTGAATGCGCGGTTTAAAATATATTGTAACGCACGTCGAACTATACAACTACCCAATAAGTTAATACTAATAAAGACGCGAGGTTCATCGCGATCATTGCATTGGGCTACTGTTGAGCCGTTCGGCACTGGATCCTTCAGCACGGCGATTTAAAATGTATAGAAAAACAGGCGGAGGTAAGAGCCATGGGGTCTACTGCAGGCATAACAGAGATAGATAAAATGACAAGAAGAATCTATTAAATTTCTACAAAAAAAAACTAGATAATTTTTGGAATTCTGGTTTGCGCCATTGTATTGCTAACACACATAAGAATGGCGCAAACTAAAAAAAAACACCATAAATTGATTAACTTTCTTGTTTTTTTTTTTCAGTTTAAATTACATTTTTGTAATTTTTCGAGAACTTGTTTCTATTATCGGATTTCTAAAAAGATAGCGCCATTCGTCCCTATATTATAAATCGAATGCAAAAATAGTATATTAAGTATCAAGAACGGTAAGTAAGATTTACTGGTCAAAGACAATGTTTGGAGACTGAGCGAAGCGAAGTCTCCAATATTGTCTGAGACCAGTAAATCTTTACCGTTTGTGATGCTTATACTATTTTTTGTACGACTTGTGGAAGAGAAAGTATACTGCGTTTATAATAATGGTTATCTATACTTATTCGGATCATACCCTAAATATCAGTGAAAATTTTCAAGATTGCTTTGTTATAAAATTGCCATGGTTCATGGTTGTCATGTATGCGTTTATTTGTTCGAGTGTTTTTGACCAATTTTTTTTACAAACTGATACATTGTTATCAAAAGCGTCGTATTTCGCGTATATTTGTGAATTTTTGGCAAAAAAAATCAACTAACCAACAACTAATGAGTGACGAGAGTGAAAATTCGGACCTAGAAGAAGCTTGGCGAATAGGATGCTCAGCTATAATACCAGAAAAATCGAAGGAACGATATGAAAATACGTATGGACTTTTCCGGAAGTGGTTTGAGGAGAAAAGTGGAAAAAATATCGATGAAAAAATCCTGATGGCCTATTTCGTACAAAGAAATCAACAGCTAAAAGCGCCGGGCAGTTTATGGGCTGAATACTCGATGTTGAAAGCCACAATTTTTCTACATCATTCCATTGATATTTCTAAGTTTTTGACGTTAATTACATTCTTAAAACGGAAAAATGTTGGACACAAACCAAAAAAGGCTAGCGTTTTCACAAAGGAAGAAATGTCCAGATTTTTATTAGAGGCACCAGATGATATTTTTTTAATTCAAAAGGTAAATTGGCAATAATAATTTCCATTTTATGTATTAATATTTCATATTTTATTTTCAGGTAGGAATGATATTAGGTGTGTCAGGTGCCTGCAGGAGGGAGGAACTATATAATATAACTCTAAATGATATCGAGGATCGAGATTCCTTCATTATAGTGAAAATTCCCAACACCAAAACACACATTCAGCGGTCATTTACAATTACCAATGTGGAAAATGAAACCATTCATTATTTGGAGATTATTCGAAAATACATTAGGCTTAGACCAAGCGACGTAAAATCTGCACGAATGTTTTTAAATTTTCAGAAAGGAAAATGCACTAAGCAAGTGGTAGGGAAAGGCACAATTGGTAAATGGCCCATGATAATAGCAAAATATTTAAAATTAGGAAATCCAACCGATTATAATGGTCATTCATTCAGACGTACTTCAGCTACGCTTTTGGCCAATAAAGGGGTGGATATTTTAGGATTAAAAAGACATGGTGGCTGGAAATCTTCAGCCGTAGCTGAAAGCTACGTTGAGGACTCACTGCAAAACAAAATTGAGTTTGCAGGAAAAATTTTACATGGCAATACTGATTCTTCTTCAGCAAATTCCACGTCTGTATCATGTGCAACATTTTCAGTTAATGCGAACGATCCTGACAAAGCCACATTCCCTATTACTATTAAAAATTGTGATAACTGTACGTTTAATTTTAATGTTAATAAATAAAATATTTGTGTATTCTTTTTTTTGTATAGTTTTTCATTTTAATTTCTGGATGATCTAGGATAAATTTCCGAACATGACTAATATTACTTACCGTTCTAGAACGGTAAGTAATTCACTTACCGTTCTGTCAGCCTTGCCAACCAGTAAATACAACATACCGACGTCAAAACACTGTCGGTAAATAATCAAAATAGTCAAGTCGTACAAAAAGAAAGTTGATATAACTTCAATTGTTAAAAAATTAAGTTGAAATTGAGAATGCAATGCATTCCTTGTTTCATTCATCTCATTCCCACTAAGGAGTATTAATCGGAGCGGAAGAATACAATGATAGACTGCGTTAGGTGCTTCGCGCAGAAAAAAATATTTTGGCATTGAGGCGCATCCAATACCCCATTGGCGTATCCAGGATTTTGGTTTGAGGGGGGGGCTGCGTTAACAAAAAGGGTTGACCAAAAAAAAAAAAAAAACCTTGCCACAATAGTCCATTTTCATGTGCCTAAAGCATTCATGCGCTTATTGCCACATTAGAAATGACGAATCATTTTAGGATCATTTTACTAGGTAGCTAGAGTTCACCGATTATACCTATCCTTTCTTTTTTTATAAAGTAGAAAAGGACGAAAATAGGTCATAGGTTGTGACTAGTTTTTTACAGTGAACTATAAACTACACGTAGGTACCTGGAATAGCACCGACCGTTGTCGGATATGGCATTTGTCATCTCTC